ATTTGATAATCCATGCTTAATGATACTGAGTCCAGGGAATGCTCTTATTCAGCCAGTCTTTATTTTCTGAAATGGTAACCCCTTGCCCTGGTTATTCTTTACACCATGGTGCCAGGGGAGGCAGCCGGAAGCATCAGGAAGAGACATAGAGCTGGACTTCAGCTAATCAGGCTTTGTTTGCTTTGTTTTCTTGTGAGAGTATTGCCTGGCATGTGTTCTTTAACCCTTTCTACATCTATAGTCTTAAATTCTTAAATTTGAAACTTAAATCTGTGCTGGAGAGATGGTTAGCAGTTAAGAGAGCTGGACTGCTCTTTCAGAGGACCCAGGTTTGATTCCCAGCGCACCCAGCTGCTAACCACCATCTGTAACTCCCGTTCCAGGGGATTTACTGCCCTCTCCTGGCCTCTGCAGGTACTGTGCATGCACATTGTGTGCAGACATACACAAGCAAAACACCCATCCACATAAAATAATAATTTAAAAAAATCCTTAAATCTAAGGCATGTAACAACTTGGAAACATTAGAAATATCTACACTAAGTTGTGTATTATAACGTAATAATTTTATAGCCCTTCTCCACATGTCCCATGTTACATAACTTCTGGATCTTTTCTTCTAGCTCCATCCACTTCATGGAGAGCTCTGATTTCCTCACCTCCTTCTGAGAGGTGATGTCCAGACTGTACGAGGCACACAAACCTCACTGTGTCTACCAGTGAGGTGCTTACTCTCCTGCTACAGTCTATCTAACTGTTCCTTATGATCCTTGAGTCTTAGAGTGGTTTTTGTTGTTGTCATTGTTGTTGTTGTTTTTGTTTTGTTTTGTTTTTTTGAGACATGGTTTCTCTGTGTAGCTTTGCTCCTTTCCTGGAACTCACTCTGTAGCCCAGGCTGGCCTTGAACTCACAGAGATCTGCCTGGCTCTGCCTCCCAAGTGCTGGGATTAAAGGTGTGCACTACCACTGCCCGGCTTTAGTGTGTTTTTTTAATCGATTTTTTTTTCTGACTTTACCTCTCAAAAGAGAACATCTATACTAAAAGACTTAACATGAGTGTTAGTTCTTTTTAATAGAGAGGAGCAAGCTTTTCTAGTAGTAGTCTAAATTAGCCATACTTATTTGCTTAGCAGAATTTAAGTGATAATTCATTCCATAGCTGCTGAAGGTCAGTGCTTTGTAACTTCTTAGGATCATAGATCTGCTTTTTTAAGGATTTATTTTATTGTTTAAGTGGTATGCATTTGTATGCGGCTATGTGTGGGTATGTGCATGTGAGTGGTGGTGCCCATAGCGGTCAGAAGAAGTCAAATTCCCAGGAGATGGAGTTAGAGCTGCCTCTTAGCCACCCAACACAGATGCTGGCAAGCAAACTCAGACTTTTTTGAAGAGCAGTTACAGGCCCTTCACCACTGAGGTATCTCTCTAGCCCCAGGGATACAGATGAAAGCTCTAGATTTTCTACCATAAAGAAACACACATGCAATTAAGATTCTTGTACATTGTTTTATTATTTTGCAGCATTTCAGCTCTCCTGAACTAATCTCTGATGTGTGATAAGTTCACAAAGCTTCACAGAAGGGTAAACTGAGGTCTCCTGGGCCTAGACTGAGTGAATACCCAATGAAGATCAAGCAAGAAAGTCTTCAGGTCACACAGCAGCTTGAGTTCTCAGGTTGAACAAAGGATGGCTTTCAGTGGCCTCTTTATGCAATAAGAACATTGCTTCTGGCTGGGCGGGGGTGGCTCACGCCTTTAATCCCAGCACTCGGGAGGCAGAGCCAGGAGGATCTCTGTGAGTTCGAGGCCAGCCTGGGCTACCAAGTGAGTTCCAGGAAAGGCGCAAAGCTACACAGAGAAACCCTGTCTCGAAAAACCAAAAAAAAAAAAAAAAAAAAAAGGGAATTGCTTCTCTGTGGTGATATTTTCTTTGTGCATGCCAATAAAGTTTATTTGAGGATCAGAGGGAAAAAACAGCCACTATGTTAAACATAGAAGTCAGGCAATGGTAGCACACACCTTTAATCCTAGCCTTCGGAGGCAGCGATTCATCTGGATCTCTGTGAGTTCAAGGCCACACTAGGAACAGAGCCAGGAATGGTGACACACGCCTTTAATCTCAGCACTAACCATAGAGAACTGGAGGTCTGTACAGACAGACAGGAAGTGATGTAGCTGGGCAGAGAGAGGAAATGAGATGCAGAACAGAAAGGCCTATAGGCGTGGGTATACAGGAAGCAGGTCTCTTTGGCTGAGGATTGCCAAGTGGTAAGAACGTGGCTGGCTTCTTTCTGCTTTTCTGGTCTCTCAGCTTTTACCTCAATATCTAGCTCTGGGTTTTTCATTAATAAGACCGTTTAGCAATTCATCTTACACTTCTTGGCACCATCCTCTCCAGGAAAAAAATCCTTCTCTTCAAATGCTTGTCCCCTTAGGTAAAGCTGCCTGAGTGTACGTACTCATGGTGCTCGTGGACAGAGGCCCACACTTCTATGTTCCCCCAAGCTCCATGCTACCCTCAAACATTGGCCAGCTGTGAAAACACATTGGCCTAACACTTATCCAGGCCATCCTGGGTGAGGTCTGAGGCACACAGCCACTGTCCCTACATTGCAACATCTCACCCGCTGTGAGATTGGATGGTTGCAAGTCTTCAAAATGATAACATACCTTTGGTCACAGGGAACGGATCTGCTGAGGGGAAAACAAAAACATGCTGCTGGTTGGAAGAATTTCTTTTGAAAAAAAAAAAAGTTACACTAAAATATCAAGGACTTTCAGGCATCTTAGTTCGCCTTGGGAATTCACATTCTCTGGAATCATTTTCAAAGGTGAAGGAGTGGGATTTGCTCTCTGCATTCAATGTTTACCCAGTGTGGCCATGGGTGTGACTGACACAAAGACCTTTTCCTCCCCCCAGGTACGAATTGTTCCAAATGTGGAAGACGGACTTCCATGGAAAACATGAAGTTCCCTTTTGACAAAAAGAAGAGCTGGTTTTTCTATCTCACATAGTAGCCGACATATGTACACAGAATTCAGTTCTAGGGTAGAATGTGTAGTACCATCAGCTGCATCCTCCACCCCCAAGAAATCTAGAGTCAGAAATGTAGGTTACTTCTATAGTTTCTCCACAATGCACTCTTTAAAAAGCTTACATCTATTTGAAAGGGGAATTTCTACCCTTATTGAAAAACCTACATTTACAAAGAAAGGGCAAAATAAATAAATACAATGCAATGTTCAAAATGATATTGAACATTAGCTGGGTATGGATGCTTCTTCTGTTTAGGTGATAAAAGGTTTCCTCATTCAACTGAGACTTCACTCTTAACTGATTGGAGTTACTAAATGGTTAGTGGCAATCATTTTATTTAAGGACACGGCCCGCTTTAGCCCACAATGTATGTCACCCGTGGTATGAGTCCCACTGTCTGAACCACGCTTATTTGGTGCAGGAATTTGACAACTTTCTATACACCAAAAAACCTATTTTCACTTACTCCTTCTAAGATATACTCCAAAAAATAACCACCATTTCTATTTCTGGTGGTTGAATCTAGAAATCTAAGATGATTACTTCCTAGACATTGTCTCCAGTGTCTTCCTTATACTCTATTGATTTCTTTGCCACTGACCTCTCCATAATCAGGGTGGGGGAGAATGAGAATGAAGTAGGTCTAGGTACCCGGCGCCATCCAGACCTTTCCCTGCAAAGCTCCCATAAGTGGACCACACTGTCTGAAGTTACTGCTTCGGTGTCTCGGTGACGAGTTCTTGACAAATCATTCACTCAACATGTGTGTTGTCAAGAGACTATGTTAAAGGTGTGGTGCTGGGTGCTATTTAGAGGGTGGAGATGCAATGTCACAGCCCCTCACTGTAATAGCTCCTAGTGCATGTCTACTCAGCACCAAGTTCTCTACATAGAGATTCAGATGGACTTTGCCTAAGGTCACACAGCTTGGAGGTGCTGGAGCTCGTATAGAAACTTGGGTCTGTCTATGTGCTTTGCTCACAGCCTGTCGGTAACATGAGAAAATAATCTGTGGTTAGGTATTACAGAGTCCATCCATAATGCAAGAGCTTCTTTGTCACAGAGGCAATGTCTCCACCAAAGTACTTGCTCAGAAGTTGAAGGAGAAAAGTATCTCTGCACCTTTGCCACCCAGATCATACCCGCCTTGACTGACTTTGGGCCTGGTCATCGAATACCACAGGTTACCATGATGAAACCTGGCATTTTGTGCAACTCAAACATTATATATGAATACAAGTTAAAAAAAAAAAACCAAGCGGAATCCCTGACCACAGTACATAAAAGTTGGTCAGAGTTGGTGTGGCAGATTTCCTAAAGCAACACCTCACCAAGAAGAAAAATCCCACTTTGGGACAGTTCTTAAATTGCATAGGTAGCTTTAACAGACACATCGTCAATCCTAATTACGTGCTCCAACATTTGGCTCTGTTGAGATGCATTATTACTTAAACTAAATTTGATCTCTGCTAAATTCATACAAAGGATTTTGATAACAACTCACTATTTTGGGAATGTATAAGGCAAAAAAAAAAATGGGGAGTGGGTTTGGGGAAATGAAGTAGACCTAGATATCCTATTAAAAATAACTACACGAAGACAAATACTGCAATCTCCATTGCAACAGGAACATCAGATTGCTCTTGTTAAGTCACTGTATGCACGGCTAGGTCATTGCTGGGTATTATCACATCCAGCAATTCCTCAAATTAGGTGAGTTAGAGATGGTAATCAAGTGGAACTCTGGATGTCACTAAGGTCTGGGCAAACTTGAACAGAAATAATTGAAGTGCTAAGGATGGAGCTTGGAGAAGCCTGGCAGACATGGCTGTGTACACATTCCACACACTGCCCATCTTAGGGAGTGCAGACAGGCTCACATGAGTCTCCAGATATTCAAAACAAAGTTAGACGCAGGCAGGTCAGTAAGAAAATGTTCGTTCCAACCAAAGAAACACGGCTATTAAAGATTCATGTTTATTACTAAGATTAAACCTTGATAAGTGGCTCAAATCAAATACAGGGAAACACATCACATGATCAGACCTATTCACAACTTTTTTTTTTCACAATTAAAATGAGGTACTGTGGCTTCACAATATTGTAGGATGAATCGTGTGATTTAATCCAGGTTACAAGGAAGAAGCAAAGAGATGTAATTGAAGAATCACTTCCTAAAGGGAAAGAAGCCAAATGAAATATCTATGAAGGTGACAAGCCACAAAATACAGTTCAGAGGATCAAGTAACATATATGCACAATTTTATCCCTAACCTTAAAATTGGTAAAATTGATGATTATCTCTTAAGTTTAGCAAACCACATGCATTGCAGTATAAATCAAGTAATAGAAGATAAAATGGAATCTCCATTACAGCATTTATCACATACATGAATTATTTGAACTGACCAAGAATTTTTTTTAACTATGACAATTTCTGTAATTTTAAACTACTGATCACAGAGGCTAAGTATTACAGTTGGTATACACATAATACAAATAATCCATACACAACCTGAATTTAATACTTATGAATACTGGGGTAATAATTAGTAGCAGCAAGGTAATATTATTTCTAGAATATGATCTGAGACTTACCATCTTGACACTATAGATCTATAACTGATGTGTTCTTAGTGCTATAAACTGATAACAGGTGTGACATTGCAACTGTACAGAGCTGCCAAAGGCCTATATGACTTTTCAAAGTGCTATGCTTCTTAGTGGGCTTGACACTGTGAGCAAGCCTGTGCTATCTGAATTAAGTGTTGGTCCCAGTTTCAGGGCTCCGGTTAAGCATAGTGCTAATGCCTGGGTGAGAGTAGGAGGCAGAACAATGTGTTGGAGAAGAGTAAAGAGTAACTATCATGACAGTCGGACCACACCTTCTATCAGCATCTTGTGATGCGGTCACTGGCAGATGACGGGGGATGCTAGGAGACAGGATAAAGTAGCATTCTGTGAAGGGCATGGGACAAAAGGACAGAAGGACAGAAAATGCCTCTGGACTGTCGATGCAGTTGCCTCAACAGCCTATGCTTCTGAATTCCCCCCAAGAGTGGGAGGGCTTAGTCAACCCATTTTGTTTTGAAATGGGCTTTATATATCCTAAGAACAAGTTTGTTGGAGTTGATGCTAAAACACACTTGATGCTAGAGCAGAATATCCTTACCTTAGGATATTTGCAACAGTGTCTAAAACTTTACTATTTTTTTTTAATCATTAGCATCATCTTAGGGTTGCTTCTGAGTTTGGCTGGCTCAGACATATGGCCATTAGTGCCAGTGTTTGGAGCAGAATGCTGGGGGAATCCAAAGGTTGTGAAAGTAGGCAGTCTCCTGGGGCAGTAAAGAGCTGATTAGAACCATCTGGAAATAAGGGGAAGTTTACATCGACACCACTTGTTATTCGGTCAGTTCACTCTCCTGTGTCCCAAGGTGACACTATTGAGTATGAAACCGGGGTACCAACTACAAGGAAGCAACCTAAGAAGAGGGTTAAGATGTACCAGACAGATCATGGAATCAAGAGGGACATCCATGCTCTTCTATGCTGTACCAAATAAGCTTCCTGTCAGCTTGGATGTTTGATAACCTCAGTGTCTATTGTTTCCTCTTGAAATGTTGAGAAAGCCCACTTCTCAGGGGCCAATGTACACTTTGGCATATTTCTTTGAATGCCACACATTATACAGACTCCAGAAGATATAATACATACTCAAAGTCAATCAGCCTATACCACACTCTTGGACAATGACCCCAACCACATTCTCCGCACATGTGTAAAAAGGAGGAATCACTGCAAAGGTATATCTCCAGAATGCAAGAAGGCATTTAGGCTAAGCCCTAGGACCTTATTTATTTCATGAGCCAGTCAACTGAGATTTGCATCGTTACTAAAGATGAAAGAAGCAAGGGCAGGTTAGCCCAGGATCAGTTGCTCAGCTAAGGGAGGAGATCTCTCGAGGCTGTGGCCCATTCATTATCTGGTTCTGTTTCCCAGAATGTAATAGACAATTAAGCACATCATAAAACTTCTGTTATGATGTTGTTGTGTAGCCCTTTTGCTCCTTAGAGAAGACAGCAATTTCCTTTCAGCCTGAATTTCTTCTGGGTCTCCACCTTTCACTCTGTGCTAATGGCTGGGCTGTATCATGCCTCTTTGGGATTGCTTCCTACTGGTAAGACTGAGGGGGAAAAAAAAAACCCACGTGGATATTCCAACACAGCAGAAAGCTCCATTTAATCTCAGACTGCTCCACTTCATTGCCTTCTTGGATAGAAGCATACATTTTGGATGTGAATATGAAGTTATGAAAGACCTGAGATTCTTAAGGTTTGTCATTACCTCTGCTCAGATCTTGTGCTTTTCTTTGCATGTATATAAAATCCTGGATTTGAACTCTTAGTAACTGTTCTAAAAAATTCAAGGGTTTAGACCCAGCACAAAAGAAAATAATGAGTATCAAATCTCAAGCAGCAAATATGAGCATTTTTTTTGCATGATTTCTAAGACTGCCATGATGTCAGACCAAATCCTGAGACACTCACCAGGCCCTTCCATCACGTCCACCCTGAGCTCTCTATTCAGTCCTAAGAACACTCTCTCTCTCCATAGCAGACATGGAACTTGAGAAGTTCAGTGCTCACGCTTTGAGTTTTAACTGTCAGAAACCTAGCATGTCTGGGCCATCAAGGAAACTGGGCCGTGCTGGAATGAAGAGAGCGCATGAAGAACTCGCTTCAATTTTTAAAGAGAAATGGCTCCAAAGCCTGTGAAACTAACAAGCTAACAGAGCAGCATTTTGGTTGCTCTTGACATTGATTCTGAACACTTATGAGAGCCTGATATTGATCTGAGTGATTCCCAGGAATTTTGAGAACACGTGACATGTGGGGGGGTCAGAATTCTTACTGGTAACTATTGCAGAATGAGCCACGGAGCCTAAATTCTGTTTATTCTGTCCACCTCAGCCAAGAGTCTACCTGGTCTCCAAGGAACAGGATACATGCAGCCTTTACATCATCGGATGTGATAATTTGAATAATTACCAGGGAAAACTGTGAATAACCCTCCCCCTTACCCCTCAGACTTTCAAAATGTCAACAAGGCCAAGCCCCTAAAGCAGCATGGAGGAGCTAGTGCATGCGCTCACTACAGGAGCAGGGGCCGTACATGTGGCCTTGGGAGTGTCCTGTGCTTCTGTGTTTTGTTTGACGGTGCAGCATGCAAACAGTGAGGTGCACGTGCATGTCCTAAGTGAAGTACAACTGTACATTGAGGAACAAAAGGAAAAGATGAAGTAAACGATTCACTGAACAGTCGACAGCCTTAAGTGAACTGGAGATCCGGTGCAGATACCCATTGACACGTCGGAGCCCCGTAGCACCAAGCACCTGGACAAAGCTGCGGCTCCACTAAAACAGAGCAGAGTGGCGCTCCTCTGTCTCCTTATCTCTTTGCCAAGTAACGAAGGGTTAATGGATGGAGAGGAACCTAGACCTGGCAACTGATTGAAAATTAAAACCAAACGAACAAACAAAATGCAACAAGAAAAAGAAAAACCTGAGGGCTAGGTCAAGGTTTTCAGGGCTTCTCTGAGGAGCTCAGTATCATAATTGGAGGGCCATTAAGATGATGAGGGTACATACTCCTATGCAATGAAGAAGCCTGGTGCAGAGAAGAAGGCTCCACCAAATTTGACAAGATCATTCTGGAAGCCTCCTCTGAGATGGATTAAAATTCAAGAACAGGGGAAGTTAAACCAGGTTTTCCCAGAGGCCTTTGTGCTGTGGCCTCCATGAACTATGGAGATTACAAAGTTGAGGCCTAAATTACTCTAGGAAGAAAAAAAAGGCCAGATGATTAAGAGTGAGGGGCGTGCATGTGTTTTCAATAGGTCACCCAAGATATCCCCACTGCAGTCAGCATGCACAATCTTACGAGGAAGCACAATCTGAAAGGATAGATGTGAGAGCTCCTAGGAGAGGGTCCAGCAGTCTCTGTGAATGCTCACCCCCCCCCCCCACCCACACACCTCAGGATTGCCTGTTTATATTCCTCCTTAGGAATCTGGAATCTGACATCTCAGGGATTCTCAGGTAGGGCTGAGGGGTATCAAAGCATGTCTGTGCTCAGCTGTTCTTCCTAGCTCCTTTCTTCCCAGTGCTCTCTAGAAGTGCCCGTGTAGTTTTCCATGACCCTTTCACTTCAGTCCCAGTGTATGCCTTCGGCAGTGGCATCCTGGATCGGGATCTCATCCATACCTCTACACCGTCCTCAGCAGGATTTGGGGTAGGGCAGGACATCTACAGCAAAGTCCAAGATCACTCACAGCCCTGAGATGCACCATCCAGTGCGTGGGTGGAAGACCACAGCAGCATCCATCTTGGGTAGGAAAAGTCCAGTAAACATCTGTGTGAGTGCTCTTGAGGCAAGAAGCATTGCAGATGCGTACTCTCCGAATAAATAATGAATAAATACAGAAAACAAAGCAAAGGGAACATAAGAGGGCTCTTATCAATTAAAAAAAAAAAAAACTTCTTATCAATTAAAAAAAAAAAAAATCCCCTCTTGAGTTTCCAAGCCCTCACGCAGTGGTAGTTAGTTGGCGAAATCACCCACAGAAAAAAGACCAAAGGGAAAAACAAGCGGAAATGTTCCAGCATTGCTTTTTTTTTTTTTTTTTCTCACTTGACGATATACAAGTCACCCTAAATATCCCCGAGGTAGTCTTGTTTGCGAGGAGTTACAGACTGGCTGCAAACCCGCTTGGAACTTTCTCCTTTAATGCCATTGCACATTCCCACACATCCTGTGTCAGCCTCCAGTGTGTCATGGACAAGCAGCCTTCGGGTTAGCGTTGTGTCCCGCAGCAGGCCAGGTCCCAGGTAGACAACCATCAAATATCGATTCCAGTGTCGGCTTGAAGACCTCGCTCCAAAGAAGACTGCGCCAAAATGACGCAGGTACTTTCCCGATAGTCACTTGGGGAGAAAGCTACAGGATTAAATCAAAGAATTCTGGCATGCAGCAAACATGCATATTTAGCTCTTATTGGGCCCTCACACAAATGATTCCCCACCGTAATTCCTTTCATTTTTAAAGAGGGGGCCCAAAAGGAAATGAAAGGAATCAACACTTTAAGACAGGGAAATACAGTTCTGATGCCAAGGGTAGTGTGCACTGTTTACATGAAAACTTAAGGGGACCACTTCCGGAGCCAGCCTGTGGCTGAACAGTGTGGTAATAAACACGTTTTGCTCTCGTACAGAAGTGGTGATATTGTACAGTTCAAGAGAGAACCCGGAGCGTGGCTCCCTAGGAGCCCCTCAGAGTTCTTGGTTAATGGCAAAGACCTCCCAGAGGGTGGTCCATGACTGCATGCGCCATTGCTGTTCTTCTGACCAGGAATGCCTTTCCGATTTAGTTTTCACACAGGCTCAAGTGCCCCCAGAAGACGATAGGAAGCTGGGTCAATTAAGATGCTGCATAGCCCATGGATTCAGGAAACTATACTTCCACCTTCTGTTTGCCACCATAAGCCACTGGGGAGATCCTGACCTTGACCACATAAAATACGCATTCTTCCCTTAGACTTAAGTTTTTAAAAGTCTCATTTAGGGAAATGCAATGAAAGTCCCCAGAGTTTTATCCAAATAGCTACGTGAGGAAAGGGGGAGGGCCCTCTTTCTCTTCCTCACTTCTCTGGGACTGACCAGCAGTGAGCCTTCCTAACTGGAACCTTCAAGAATCCTACCTTAGCTCAACAATCTCAACATCAAATTAAACAAAGCATCAATTCAACACTTAGTCAGAGCTCGGTCCTCCAGAAGGTCATTCAACTCGATCACGGTCGTGGCAAAGTCCACCAGGTCCACGAAGTCAGATGTGATGATGTTGACACCCATGGCTCCAGGCTTTTGAGTCTTCACCCAGTCGAGGATGGCCGGGAGATTCCTACATGTAGGAAGTATTGCGTGAAAAGAAAACAGATGGATAGCAGTGGTTAGAATGACAATTCCAGAAATGGAAATAAAAACCTTTTCCTTACCACAAATACATACATATATATGTATCAGAAACACACAAACCCTTGGGGCTCCACTCACTTATGTTCCCGGGGATGTGGAGCCAGCATTCCACCGGAGAACTCACCTTTCCAAGGTTTCTCTCATGCAAGAGACGGTATACTCACAGTATCAGAAAGACAGCCATGTTAGCAAGATCTCACAACACCGACTAGAACAGTTCTCTTATTGTTAGGTTCTCAGGACTCTTCATGAAGAAATTCAAACATACGGCAAACGGACAGAATGTTTGTAGTAAGTGGATCCACCACTTATCCCTTACCATTAACACTTTACTATTTTGTTTGCCACATACCTAGTAATGCATCTCTGTCTTCCTATCAATGCTGCTTCTAGTTTTGACATACTCCACTTGGAAACATACATAAAATCCCTTACATACGTCAGCATGCATGTGATTAATTGCATTTTTTTCTTTTTATAGTACCATATAATATTCTGTTGTATGGCTACAACATAGCTTATCCATTTTCCTTCTGTTAGATACAGCAGTTGCTTTTAATTTGGGGTTATTATGAAAAAACTAATATGGGCATTCTTCTATGAGTCTTTTTATGGGCATCACATTATTTTTCTTGGATAAAAATCAAGAAACAAAACTGGTCTATGATAGGAATTTGTTTATATTTAGTTTTATAGGAAACTGCCAGACTTTTCTTCAAGAGGACCGTTCCACTTTGAAGTCCCACCGGCTGAGGAGAGAAGCTCTGGACAGTTACTACTATCCTTAAAAATTGGTGCCACAAGTGTTCTGTAGGCTTGTCATCCCAAAGGAAGTGTGGTGACTCATGTCTGTGACCCAAGCACATGGAAGACTGAAGCAGGAGGATTGATGGGAATGTGGATTTGCCACTTGTGTCCCTTCATTTTACAAATATCTATCCAACACTTTGACAACTTTTCCCCACTTAGTTTTCAAACATTTTTTTTTGTATTTTCATTCAATCTCTGAGGGTTTCATGCAATGTGTTTTGAAAGCATTTGCCTTTTCTTCTTTTAAATGTTGAGTTTGAGAAATTAATTTTACATCCTGGATTAACTTTCCTTTTGTCATAAATATTTTACAAATATTTCTTCTGTCCTGTAGATTGCCTTTAATTTTCTCAATGAAATATTTTGATGGGCCTGAATTCCTTAATTTTGAGGGAGTGTAATTTGTTGATTATTTTTTCTTTTTCTTAAAAAAAATTGATGTGTCCTTATGAGGGGATGTGCATGTGTGTGTAGAGGTGTTCACAGAATCTAGAAGGAGTTGGATTCCCCAGAGCTGAACTTGGTACTCTGCTGAGTCACCTTTCCAGTAAGTACTCTTAACCACCAAGCAATCTCTCTAATCCGCCATCATTATTTTTTAATTTCTGTTATTATTTTTTTAAGATACTCATTTACTTTCAATTCCCAAAGATTTCTTCCCATGTTTTCTGGAAGCTTCAGGTCTTCACCCTTATTTTACTCTCTAAAGCTATTGGAAGTTGTGGTAGTTCAAATGCAATTGGTCCCCATAATCTCAGAGGGGGTAGCACTATTATGAGATGAGGCTTTGTTGGAGTGGGTATGGTCTTGTTATAGGAAGTGTGTCACTGTGGGGGCGGGCTTTGAGGTTTCCTATGCCCAGGATACTTCTCAGTGTCTCAGTTGACTTCCTGTTGCCTGCAAGACATAGGACTCTCAGCTACTACTCCAGCACCACATCTGCCTCCATGTCTCCATGCTCCTTGTAATGATGATAATAGACTGGACCTGAAACTGTAAGCCAGCTACCCCTATTAAATGTTTTCTTTATAAGAATTGCCATGGTCATGGTGTCTCTTCACAGCAACAGAAACCCCAAGACAGCAGTCAATTTTTGCAGAAGACATAAATGTAAGGGTCAGGGTTTACTTTCCACACAGATAGTTAACCCAGTACTGTGCACGGCTCCTTAATAGACTAATATTTAATCATCTGTCTCTTGACTATAGTTGCTGGGGTTATTTTATAAACAGGAGGCTTCTGATGCTACAGAGGCTCAGAGCAGATGATGTCACCATCACTTTTAATCCAATGTGACGTAAGTGTGAGGAACACGGAAGAGCAGAAGAGAGCAACCCAGGCCACTCGCTGTCTGGCATCACGGTTAACACAGCTCAGCTCACTAAAGACTCCTCAGCAAAGGGAGGTGGAAACTGGCTTATATTTGATGGTGGGACTAGGAATTCTTCGGGTTGGGTTTGCTCTGGCTAACATCGATGGGCCCTTTTCTTCTATTACTCGTGCCCTCTCTGCTGGCCGCTTACCCCAATTCTACTCTCCTTTGAAGCTGTCCTCACTTCTGCCTCGTGTACCCGCCCCCCCTTCTTGGTCTTCTAGAGTGATGTTTAGACTTTGGCTGCAACTTTCTACCTCCTCTTTCTTTTTATCTTACAGTCATCAACTAAGTTCTTTTCTCACTCAGTGGGATCCACAGTCTACCACGGGCTAAAAAAAAAAAGTCTTATAGATCAATTTCCATTTTTATTTTAACAGCTGGTTGTGACTCTCAATTGCTCTTCCTTTTTTAGCTGGGACTCTTGAAGATCTTAATGTACTAAAATTCCTCGTCCCTCTGCTCCACTTCCCTGTGGAACAGGATGCATCGGAAAGATAGTACACTAGATAGTAACCGTTCCGTGCAATGCCTGCTTGGCGCATGCGTCATGTATTTGGCCCAGGAAAGGGGTTCAAAAACGAATGAGTAAAAAAAGTAGAGAGAGAAAGATTTGGGGAGTAGGAGTGAGAAATTCCGTCATACATCCACACAACAAAATGTTGGGAAGAGGAGTTGAAGACACAGAACCCTATTAGAGACAAAGACCAATAGTTCACAGCACTAAATGAAGGACACTGGTGGGGGTGATGAGCCTGTTGCGGTCATGGTTTCTGAACAGCCTCTGTCAGGGTCTATGTTTGGAGATCCTGCGCCATCTGCTGGTCATTCTGGGGAAATGATACTTGACAGCCTGGAGGCACCCCACCACCACTCCCATTGAGCTGCACCTTGGAGGATTCCAGGAGTCTTTGTGGAGCTTTGGGGGAAAAGCTAAGTAAGTACCTGTGGTCTCCAGGGACAAAGAGGTCTGTGTCAGCTTTGGGTTGCGTGTGTCAAGCTTCTCCAAGGCAAGTATCAGATGAACCGGATGACGTAAGGGGAAATGTAGAACCCACTGGCATTGACCCGGAAGAGAGATCGCTGCAGAAGGCTGGGCCAGGTACTGCCAACAACAATCCCACAGGCTGGAGCACTTAAAGCTTCCCTTTGACCTTGAGGCCACCTCATTTCTTTACCAGTCATTGTGACAGGCATTTTCAGACTATGGTCCCATGAGCTGTTATTTCCCAGTGGTGCAGAAAAGCCCAATCCAGTGACCTCAAGAACTTGTGCAGGGTCACCCCGTCACCCAGGGCACTGTGTCAACTCGCTTGGGCTGCTGTAACAACACATACAGTAGTGACTTCAAAGAACTGAAGTTATTTTCTCCTGTTCAAGAGACTGCTAGCCCAAGATTAATGCTGCTGGGCTGGGCTTTATCTGAGGTTTTTATTCCTGGCTTGGAGGTGATTTCCTCCTCCCCTTATTTTACTCCCCTCCCTTCCCCTTCTCGCTCCTTTCCCTCCCCCTCCCCCCACCTCCCCACCCTCTGCACCCCTGTGATATTTTCTCTATGTGCATACACAGATCTCTGTGGCCTCTTTGCTTTTGGTTTGTTTGTTTTTGGAGACAGTATCATATATTCCAAGAGGACCTTGAATGCCTGCTCATTGCCTCCCAGAGTCATAGGATTACAGGCTTGTACCTCCATGCTCAGCTTCTATTGTCTCTTCTTGGTTTAAATTTCCTTTGGCCTTCAGTTGAGAGCACATTAGGACCCACCCTAAAGGCCTTTGAACATAATTGCCTCTTTAAAAGCCAATTCCTCCAAATACACTCCCATTCAGAGGCAGCAGGATTAGGGTTCCATTCTATTTGATGTTGCAGGATATTTGTTTATACTGTGTGAAGATGTGTCACTGTGATTAGTTAATAAAGAGCCAAATAGCCAATAGCTAGGCAGGAGAGAATAGGGGGGACTTCAGGGGAGAGAGAGGAACTCAGGATGAATCTAAGAGCCTGAGAGATGTCAGCGAGACATGAAGGAAGTCAGACATACAGAATGGAAGACAGGTGGAAATCTATGTGACAGACATGGATTACTAGAAGCAGGTTAATTTACATTATTATAAGAGCTAGTTGGGAATAAGCCCAAGCTAAAGGCCAAACTTTCATCAAAGTCTCCATGTCACTATTGGGGGGTTGGCAGTCCCAGAGAAAGTTCGACAAGAAAGCTTGCTGCAATTTGAGACAAACTGGGGCTCGCTATATAGGGCTTGGTGGCCTCAAACTCACAAAGATCTGCCTGCCTCTACCTCTGGAGTGCTGGGTCTACAGGTATGCACAACCACGCTGATTGGGTTAGAATTTTAATTCAGGAATTTGGGAATAGGAAACATAGTTCATGACCTTAATAGGAACCCTTACAGCTTCCATCTCAGGCCTCCTGACTCAGTCCTTGTCCCCTTCCAGAGTTCCAGTGGCCATCTGGTCCTCAGGCTTAGGCAAAACTCACCCGCATTTGATTTCACTGTGAGTACTATGGATTTGAATTCCAGGTTTCTCCCAGCCTAAACTACATCAGAAATTCAGTTTAAATGGGTGGTATATGTTTGTGGCTTCTTTCCAGGATAATGGACCAATGTGAACAGAATCTCATAGGCAAAGTTCAATGGAGAATTGGGGGGTCAGCTTCCCCCTGAGAAAACTACCTCCAGCAGGAGGAAGACACTCCCAGTCTTCTCTGGGTTTGAGCTGCTGATCAGTGCTGGGATCCACTAGACAGCTCCCCTGGGTGGTTAGCAGCTAGGTAGGACAGCGTCTTGGGGTTCTGGTGCTGGGGGCGGGGCGGGGCTATGATTACTCAGCGGTAACATGACAGTCATGTGATTGGCTGACACTGGGGAACGGATTCCTGACCAGAGCCATGTTTCTCTTTCCAGTTCATGTGCAGGCCCAGGAACGTAGGATCACACCCCTAATACTCCCATGACCAGAAAGGTAGCTTCTATTTAAGGGACATATTCGCACTACCAGCAAGGAGATCTTGCCTTTGGGCTCATGTTCTCTTCATTATAACTAAATAATGGAGGCTGGGATTCATGGGCAGCCAGACAGAAGAAGGCATATATATATATAACGATATGTGGGTTAACTGGTGTGAGCTGACCAGATCCAGGCACTTCTAACTCAGTCATGGGCTCGGGACCACCAAGGAACAGGGCACAGGCACCATCTCTGCTCACATCAGTGCTCACACACTACACAGGCTGAAGTCCAGCAGTCCTGACAGACTCTTGGCTCTTGGAAGCTCTGGGGGGCCGGATCACTTAGCTTCCCTGAGTACTGTCCTACCTGAGCACAGAAAGTCTCTTAGATGGTGCCCCCTTCTCCCCTTCAAGAGGCTGGCCTGGGTTTAAGAATTAAATCATTTGCAAAAGAGGCATCTTTTATTTGGAATAAAGGCCTTATCTTTAGTCTGAAATGGTCTCTTAAGACAGCGACGCCCACAGATTCGCAGTGGAGTGGTCTTCACACAGCTCTATAGATATGTTCGTGTCAATTTCTGCTGAAAAACTGTCCACCAGGCAGGGGCCACAGGACTCATCTCTGTCTCTACACCTGCCTCTTCCTAGCTACTCTTTCTGTTTTTCTTGAAATTTCAAATTTTTATTGAATGAAAAAATAAATAATGTTAAGCTGCAAATTTACCAAAAGCAAGAGGAAAATGGAACGAGAACATGAACCTACAATATGTGAAAAGAAAAGTTGATAATTCTAGGTGGTTTAAGGTTTTTGTTTTTTTTTTTAAGTCAGACATGGTAGCTCACATTTATAATCTCAACACTCTTGGAAATTGAGGCAGGAGGATTAGTCAACCAGTTTGAGGTCAGCTTGGGCTCCAGAGTGAGATCCTGTCTCACTTTACCATACCCTCGACTCCTCCGGCCCCATCCAAGCACACAAAGAGGATTACCATATAGACTACTCATAGCCTCTCCTGGCATTGAACTCCCAATCCCCTTGCCTCAGCTTTCCAAGAGCTGGGAACTACAGGTGTGCAGCACCATGGCCAGCCTATGGGATTTTTTTGTTTGCAGTAGAAGACAGTTTATTATTTGGTTGAGACTTGGAAGAACTACATAAAAAGGAGCCTCTTGTTCTGTCCATGGTTGGCATTGTCAGTAGTTTTTGATAGGAAAGAAGATCATGGTTGTTGCCTGCCTTTTAAACTCCTGACTAGGCGGCATATGGCTATTATCTGAAACCATGCTCTCCAAACTCAGAACCAAACGATACGGACTGGCCATGTGACTGGCCAAAGCTTTCACTATCTGAATTGCAGTCACCACCCAGAACTCAAGAACCGAACAGATGCTTGCCAATATAATTTTTAGAAAACATAAATACATTAGTTTCTGCAGCTTGCATCACAAAGTATAGCCTACTGCAAGTGCATTAATAACATCCCTCTATATACATATACATACACAATCTACATACACACACACGTGTGTCTATACATGTGTGGTGATATTGTGTTCCCCAAAATATTGGTTACCCTAATAAAATTATCTGGGGTCAGAGAACAGAACAGCCACTAGAAATAGAGGCCAGAAAATGGTGGCACACACACCTTTAATCCTATCACTTGGGAGGCAGAGATCCATCCAGATCTCTGTGAGTTTAGAGCCACACTGGAAACAACCAGGCATGGTGACTCTTGTCTTTAATCCCGGGAAGTGAGCCTTTAATCCTAAGAAGTGATGGCAGAAATCAGAAAGGTATATAAGGCTTGAGGACCAGGAACTGGTTAAGCTTTGAGGCTTTCGAGAGGAGTTCAGCTGAGATTCATTCAGATGAGGACACAGAAGCTTCCAGTCTGAGAAAACAGGATCAGCTGAGGAATTGGCGAGGTGAGGTGGCTGTGGCCAGTTCTGTTTCTCTGATCTTTCAGCGTTCACCCGAATATCTGGCTCCAGGTTTGTTTTTATTAGTAAGACTCTTTAAGATTGATGCTACACACATGTCATATACTTCCTTGACTCCCTTTATCCATCATTCACTGGTGCCCAGGACAAAAAACATCATCTCATAAAAAAACAATTAGAAGATCCCTGCTGAACTGTATATCAAACCTAATTCTATCCCAAGGGAGTATTGGAGGCGGTGGCATGGTCACCACAGAAGAAAGAACAAATTCCTGAAGGACCATCTTTCAGTTCTTCAGCACAGCACTCAGCGGCTTGTTTAATGCTGAGACAGTGGGTGCCGCAGTCAGCTGCATGGGCAGTAACAGGATCACCATGGCGTGTGTCATCAAGAAAACACACAGTGACATTGTCTCAGAGTGTTTGTCATAGTATCAAAATATAGTGAGTATCTATGGAACAAGGTGAACATTTTAGCAAAGTGTCCCAGGACTCTTTGGGCACTGTTCATGTAATCCTAGAATCCACAGCTTTTCAAAAGAGTATGTGCTATAAGTTGTTTTTGTTTGTTTGTTTGTTTGTTGCAATTCTCCGAGTCTAGAGTGTTGCTGTTGTATACTCAGAATAAAATCAAGATAAATGGTGTGTGTGTGTGTGTGTGTGTGTGTGTGTGTGTGTGTGTGTGTGTTCATGTTCACTTGTGTTTGAGTGCCTGTGTCTGTGATTGTCTGGGAGGCCAGAAGACAACCGTGGCTGTCTGAAGCGTGACCTTAATCAGTCTAAACAATAAAGACCTGGAGTCAGATATCAGGGTGGAAACTGAAAGATCGAGAAGCAGAGCAGCAGCCACTTAGAGACTTCTTACTTCTACAAAATCTCAGATCAAATAGGTGAGATCCTGTCTCTTCCCCGCCATATATTCCTGTCTCCATCTCCCATGTGCTAGGATCAAAGGTTTGAGCCTCCCATGTGCTGGGATTAAAGGCATGCACCACCACCACCACCACCCCTACCACCACCACCACCACCACCACCACTGGCTCTGTTTTTCTTTGAGACTGGCTCATTCTCGTGTAGCCCAGGGTGGCCTTGAACTCCTTATCTTCATGCTTCCTCCTCCCAAGTGCTGGGATTAAAGGTCTGTGTCACCACTGCCTGGCCTCTGTGGTTAACTAGTGGCTAGCTCTGCCCTCTGATCTCCAGGCAAGCTTTATTTGTCAGAACACAAACAAAATATCATATAACAGCTGTCAATCTCCAGATGTCATCCATTTGTTTCAGACAGTCTCTTACTGGTTTGGAACTTGCCAAGTAAGGAAGGTTTGCTGGCCAGTAAGCCTTGTGCATCCAGCTGTTTCTGCTTCTCCAGTGTTGAGATTCTGGGATCATGTGGGTTCACTGTGCTCAGGTGTTGTTTTTGCATGGGTTCTGGAAATTAAATTCAGATCCTCAAGCTTGCAAGATAAGAACTGAGATATCTTCATAGCCTAGGGTGTGAGTGTGTGTGTGTGTGTGTGTGTGTGTGTGTGTGTGTGTGTGTGTGTGTATTCAAACATCTTCTGGAGGTGGGGCTAGGTATTTGAACCTATAATTCCAGTATCAGGGAAGCAAGTCAGGAAGATTATGAGTTCAAGTCCAGCCTGAACTGTCTCAAGAAACCAACCAAACCAACCAACCATCCAGTCAGCTAACCAAACCAACCAATCAACCACCACTACCACCACCAACAAGACAATAACATAAACCCTCCCTGTAGGGTGAAGCCATCTCTTACCTGTGAACGAGTGTGTTCTTGAGACCCCCCACCAGGCCTCGGGCAATGGTCTTCACTCTTGGGGTGAGGATGGCCTGGGAGACATGGAAGGCCCCACGTGGGGCTCGCTCACTCAGGGTGGTCTCCAAGAAGAGGATCAGTTTTTGCACGCTCGTGGTGTTTGCCCAGGGTGCTGGAATCTTCTTTCCTGGCCACAGGAATGGGTATTGCTTGTAGAAGGGGCAGTGGTAGAAAATGAGAACCTGAAAGGTTCAGAGCAGAAAAAGGACAGCAACATTTAAAAGCTGAAAACTCAAACGGGGTGGGGGGAAGAAGAGAGCAAGTTGGGGAGGGGTAGACAAAGGATGGGGTTACTCAGAAGTAACAGAATTGTTCCTGTAAATTGAAATTTAAAAAGAAAAGCCACATCTCTGTGCCAGATTTTACGGTGCTGAATGACAGATTATAACTTCATATTGTGGAAAGTTAGAATGTTGAAGTCGAGTCGCGTTATCTTGGGCTAGCCTTGATCCTCTCAGTAGCCATTCATTGCTCACACCTAGCATCCTTTTGACTTCTTAAAGCCTTTGGCATGTATTCGTAGCAGACCGTCAGCTTCCACGAGCAAAAATATACATAGACTGTGTCTGAAAGCTATAGTAGTTCTCCTGCTATAACCCACCTACTTGTGGTGCTGACCAATGTTGATGAATGCGTTGCTGTGTGGCTTTCTTTAGTTTTCAGGCTAATCAAATCTCACATGATCATTTCCACAGTGCACGTGTCCTCCCAGGCCACCTGAGTCTGTGTTCCCAGCCCTTTCCTAGTTGGCTTACAAATAAACCATTTCTTACTCTTTGCGGTGAGAGCTGTATTTTGCACAGATAGTTTTTTTTTTTCCTTTTTATTAAATGTATTTATTTACTTTTTCATAGCAGAGGGATGGGGTGGCAACTTTTGGGACTTAGTTCTCACCTTCAACCAAATGGGACCTCGGAATTTAATTTAGTTCATCAGTCTTGGTGGTATGCCTTAGCCACTGAGCCATCTCATTGCCCCTATATATTATCTTTTAAAAACAAACAAACAAGCATTTACTGAGAACTTGCTGTCTAATTCAAAGGTGGCCTCCTTTTTGGCTATGCACATAGTATAAGCACAGAGCACCTTCTCACAGTCGTGTCTTAAATAATGCACAAAACAAACAAGATTGTAAAGGAAAATGACATGAAATAAAGGAATTATGCCTATTCAAATAGCAAATATATTTGTAGGAAATTAATGTAGAGCCTCATGACAAATGCATAAAATTATTTTGATAAGAGTCTAATAAGCTCCATTAACTATGAGTTAGTGATGAGCATGAATGGTATTTTAAGACAATCTGCGAAGAACATGACATGGCCACATCCCTGAGGATAGTTGACAGGCAAGGCCATGCAGAAGTGGGATACTATTGCCAGCATGCATGACTCAAGGTAAGTAAAAGTAAACATGTAGGTTTTTGTTGTGGTTATTTTGTTTGTTTGTTTGTTTGTTTGTTTTAACCAACCAGACACAGCCTTATTAAATTCCATCCCACGCTCTCTGGGAAGTCTCTAGATCCCGGCTGAAACCACAAATATGGCCCAGAAATCATGTTTCCTGTGCTCATGGCATTGACACTTTGCTCTTGGAGTTTAGATAAACACTGTGAACTCATTTGTGAGTGAATAGATTTTCAATTGTGCGCACTGACTCTGATGAAATTACCCTTCCCAGGGGAGGAAACCGATGTGCCACTAAGCGTCAGGGAAGACTTTACCGAGGCCATGGCCCTCCAGTGGGGCCACTCGAGATGGTGGTAATTTTGAAAATAATTAGCAGGCTATATCCACAGCATTAATTAGTTTCTGGGAGGCAGCTGGGGGGACAGAGAATTGCTCTTCTGATTGTCCCAGTTGCGAGCTCTGCTGCATGGCTTTCTAGAAGAGCTGTGTTTTTCTCCTTAGGGGCACGGGTGAGCTCTTCCCAGAGGAATGCCCAGCTCATGTTCACACTGGACTATAATCTTCAGGGTAGTCCTCCAGGCACTCAGGAGCAGGGATTCCACATGCTCATCTCATTTCCAGTGTGTTCAGGTGCTGATGAAAGCGACTTGACCTTCTGAAGGCCCAGAGGCAGACAGTGCCAGGCAGGGGGCTGCAAAACAGGGTAATGTCTACCCTCCTGGTTCTTAATGGTTCTGAGTAATGCTGAGCACTGGTGATGACTATAGTAAACTCGTGTGTTAATGAGGTTAATCACAGGCTCACTGTAAGCAGATTGCTGGGGAGAGCCCAAGATTTCCTCCTGGCATGTAACTAGCTGGTTTGGAAGGCTGAAGCCTGGAAGGAGAGCTGCCCTGGGCAATGGGCTGGGGGTAGGGGATGGGCAGGAGGCTAGGCAGCCCTGTGACAGGCTCAGCAGGTGGTACCCAAGACACCTGCCCCTGGGCCTGCCTCTGTGCACTAGAGGACAGTAATAACTTGACTCTGCCCCAGAAAAATGTGTATTCAAAACAAATTACACAAAAGGAGCTTTTTGTCCTCCCCCCGCCCCGCCCCCCTGGGGGTGGGGGGGTGGGGCTTCTTGGGCAGTCTGATCTGAAGGTTGGCAGGGCAGGAGGGTGGAGAATCTCAGCTGACAGCGGGAGGCTGGCTGGCAGGCAAACCTACGCCCAAGGCCCAGGTTACAGAACACAGGTACAGGGACACTCAGGGAGCTTGTTCAGAGCACCTCCCTCCCTGTCTCACTGGGCTGCTTTCCTTTGAAATATCTCCCCTCCAGCTCAGCAGTTTGTGTTCAGTTTTTCTCTTGAGACAAAGATGGAAAATCTCATTTCCTTTAAGAACAGTCCCTCGGGTGACCTCTTAACTGTGGTGGTTGCTTTAGCGGGAGCCTCTGGGATGCAGATTCATGGTGTGCTCTATTTTTCAACGTATTGCAAAACCCCTTTCTTCATACCATACAGAACACCGGACACAGTCTTGTCCTGCGATTGCATATTGATCATTTTGTCTATTATTATCTTGAACTGATAAATTATGTTTAGCACTTATGATTATTATTGTCTTCAGGTGTGTGCATACCATGGCATACATGCAGACATCAGAATATAACTCTCGGGAGTTGGTTCTCTCCTTTCAATATGGGTTCCGGGGGTTGAACTGGGTCACTAGGTTTTCTCAGCAAGCGCTTTTAAGCCCGGAGCCATCTTGCTGTCCTTTTTGGTTTGGGATTTTTGAGACAGGTCCTGCTGCGTAGCCCTATCTAGCCTGGAACTATCTGCTATGTAGCTGGAACTCAGAAGAACCTTCTTGTCTCAGCCAAAGTGCTGGGATCACAGGTGTGCGCCAGCGCGTCCAGCTTGATTGTTCTCTAGTTCACCAGAGTTATGTATTTCTTCCCTTCTCATTAAGATCCCAAATATTTCCCAACTGTAGGCCAAGCCCTCTAATTCACTGTGCCCTTAAAGCCTTATCTACTAAAGTATGCAGATATAATCTGTGAGCTGTGACATAATCACATGTGGAGTAAATGAAATGTGACTGGTGGTACCGCACTTCCTGATATTAAATTCCAGTAATAAAATACCCCCTCCCCCGGGGGGGGGTATGTGCAAGGCAGCTCATTACACAATGAATATTTAAAGCCTGACCATAAGTGTCCCACAGCCCCAGCATGGGGCCAATGACTAGTGGCTCCTTTTGAGTGCTCTTATTTCAGCTGTTAAAGAGACGAGACAGGAGAAGCAGGGATCAGGGGAAGACACAGAATTTAAATGGCAACATTTCCCCTTTTTTCTAATACATCATTCCAATCTCTTTCTCCCATAACTAGACTATTTGTAGTGGATAATGCAGCTAAATTAGCGCGCACACATATGTGTGTGTGTATGTGTGTGTGTGTGTGTGTGTGTGTATGTGTGTGTGTGTGTGTGTGTGTATTATGGTACATGCACTTGTTTATGTATAGGTCAGAGGACAACAATCAGGATTCAGTTCTCTATTTCTACCCTGTGGGTCCAAAGCTCAAACTCATGTTGTTCCTTTATGTGCTGAATCCTCTTCTGTTCCCTTATTTTTTGGGACAGAGTCTCTAGGTGAATCTAAAGCACTATTTAGCCAGAAAGGCTGACCAATAACTTTCTGGGACCTGCCTGCTAATATCTACCAACCAAATTATTCAATGTTAACTGACCTCAAATTTAACCTTACCTGATCCCCACATTCAAATGCCATCCCCCTTTTCTCAATGGAAATGGTCTGGGACCCTTTCTGAATAGGTTCTTAATGAAAAGAAAGTGTTTTTTTGCCTCACAACAAAAGAAAGCAGTTGTGAAAATCATCAAGGCCTGTGGTGAGTCCCCAGAGAACAGGAGGAGCTATGGGATACTAGAGAGGAACCAGCCAGTGAAGGAATCCTGACCCACACCACGTCCTCACAGTGCTTCCTTGGCAAGTTGTTTCAATCTCTCCATTCCTCAGTTTTCCCATCTGTAAAATGGGGGGAGGGAGCAATAACAAATGCCTATCTCGGGTTGGGGATTAAGCTCAGTGGTAGAGTGTTTGCACAGCCAGTACAAGGCTTTGGGTGGGGGTGGGAGTGGGGGGTACAAAATAACCAATGCCTATCTCATAGTTATTGTTGAGAAGATCAAACAAGTTAATCTTGCACATTCTGGTGTATTAATAAAACTGAGTTTGTATTTCAAGAGTTCCAGGCAAGCCTGGACTGCTACATAGTGAGACTCCATGACAAATAAATAAACAATTAAACCCGTGAGTCTGAAGAGTATTAAACTCGGGCGTAGGAGGACAGATGTCATAAATAGTTGGGGAAAAAAATCACTTATACTTGGTGCTCAGCAAATGTTTGTAAACAGATAACTGATATAATTTCAAAACACGAAGTTCTTCTTTGAGTCACATGTTTCTTTTTAAAATATTTATTTATTTGTGTGTGTGTGGTGTGGTGTGGTGTGGTGTGGTGTGGTGTGTGTGTGCCTGTGAGTATATATACATGTGAGCCTTGCATACACACTGAGGTGGGGGGGATGGGGATGGGGGGAACACTAGAGTCCTCTGTTACTCTTCACCTAACCCTTTGAGACAGCGCCTCTCCCTGAACCTGAGACTCACATTTTCTTGGCTAAGATGGAAGCTCACAAGCCCCAGAGACCCGCCTGAATCCCAGCTCTTGGAGCTGGGGTTCTAACCATCTGTGGGGGACATGTGGCTTCTGATGCTGGGGCTGGGATCGGAACACCTGTCCTCATTATTGCAGAGCAAGTGCTTTTAACTGCTCAGACATCTCTCTGGCTCCCCATAAACACTTCTTCAATAAACTTTTCTTAAGACCAGGGATGTGGCACAGTGGTAGAGCTGCTTGCCTAGTGTATAGAAAGCCTGGAGGTCCTTCTCCAATATAAAAAAAAAAAAAAAATTTTCTTACTGTACTTAATGAGACAGGAACAACTCTGAATGAATGTATACTTCTCATTTTTCTTGAAGAAAGTTTAAATCAGAGGCTGTCCATTCCTGGGGCTCTTGTTTGTGGCTGCCACACCTTGGTATCAGAGTGGAATGTATCTGAGACCTATCCTTTTACTGAGTGTATTCTTCAGGCATGTAGGCTGAAGGCTCGTCTTCACTGGGGAAGACATGGATAGAGGGCATGAGGAGAAAGAATAGTGTTCTACTGGCCAATTGGCTTATTTTACAACTTTGCCTCAGGCTGATATTAGCCAAGCCATTAAAAATAAACTTAGATGTTTAATAGATTGCAGACAGACTTTATTCGGCTGATGTGGTGATTTGAATGAGAATGCCCTGTCCCCCCCCCCACCACCATGGGCTCATAAAATTGAATATTTTGTCACCAGTTGGTGGAAATGTTTGTCCCAGCTCAAGAGGTTTCAGAGGGCAACAACATTAACAACTAGGCTAGGGCCCCAGTTGTGGTATTTTGGCAAAGAATGTGGCTGCTTTTTGTCCTTGTCCTATGAATTTTCCTGAGGCTAAATTGAAAAACAGTGGACTAATTTCCTTGGCAAAGGAGATTTCAAGACAGCTTAATACTGACTCTGTCATGTGGTTATCACACTTATACAGTAATCATTCTTATATAGGTCGACAATGATAAAGAACAGGTAGGCCAAAGAGAAATATAAAATATACAGTTTAAAGAGGAAAAGGAGCACCAGGAAATTTAATGTTGGAGCCAAGACTTGTGCTGAAAGAGATGAGACAATTAAAGAGAGAGGCTTGATCTGAAATGAAATAAAGGGAGGATTACCTTTAGGGCAAGACCTCACCTAGATAAGCTTTCAACTTGTAAAAAAGGAATTTTCTGCTCCAAAATAGCAGCAACAAACCAAAGCTGCTACAAATATGATCCCAGGCTGCCAAGTTGGTAGTCAAGCTTGGCACTGCCATCTCAGTGGTTCTGGCTTTAGAGTCATGAAGGATGCAGAAGTAGGGGGTTCTGGAATCTTCCTCCATAGTGGAGAGCCACTGGAGCCAGGCCTAAGGTGGGGGAGTCCCTGAATGAAGGCCCTGAGATGACAAAGCTGTGAAAGTGAAGCTTGGATTGTGTTCGAGACACAAAAGTGTTAGAGGTGCCAGAGTCAAGGGATGTCTGCCAACGGGAGCTACATACCAGAAGTGGAAGCAGCTCAAGAGAGAGAAGTGTGCTGCAAGCAGCAAAGCTGGAAGAAGAGCAGAACCATGCATGTTCTTTGACATTGGACATGAAGCTACAGGAGTTCGAGTTTTCTCTGCTGGCTTTCAGTCTTGCTTTAGTCCAGTATTTTTCCACTATGCCTCCTTTCCTCCGTTTGAGAATGGTCATGTGCATTCTGTGCCGTTACGTGTTGGAAGTATATAATTTACTTTTTGCTTTTGATTTTACAGGGGCTATAGTTAAGAGATTGCCTTAAGTCTCAGGAGAGACTTCAGACCTTTAAACAGTGTTGGGACTGTGAAAGACTATGGGGACTTCTGAATTTGGATCAAATGCATTTTGCATTATAATGTGACTACAAGTCTATGAGGACCAGGGAGTGGAATGTGGTAGTCTAAATAAGAATGACCCATGTAGGCTCACATATTTGAATTCTTGGTCCTCAGTTGGTAGGGATGTTTGGGATAGATTAGGAAGTGTAGACTTGTTGGAGGAAGCGTTCACTAAAGGTTGGCTCTGAGGTTTCAAAAGATTTGTGCGCTTCTCAGGGCTTTCTCTCTTTGTCTCATGATTGTGGGTCAAGATGTGAGCTCTCAGGTGCTGCTTTGCTGTCCTTGGCTCTAACCCTCTGAATCCATAAGCCAAAGCAAACGCTTTCTTTCATCAGTTGCCTGGGTCATGGTGTTCTATCACAACAATAAAAAAGGGAACTAAGACACCCAACATGAATCCCATTTCTACCAGGCCCACTAAATCTCTTCTAGCTATCTCAGAGTTCAGGTATGATTCTATACATGCCCAGTACTTCAACCTTTCATCTATTCTTCCAGCCCCTAAGCCTTGGGTTGAGCTATTTTACAGATGGCGGCCTACGGAAAGCAGAGTTAAGTGCCTGTTCTCAGAAGCACATTACTCCTCCCTCTCACCTGGCATTTCTTCTCCCACAGGCTTCGCAGTGTCATGCTTTCCACGCTGCAGACTGGGCACAGCTTGTTCCCGAAGGCCTCCTGGATCCGCCGAACCAGGCATTTGTGGTGGGCCTCGTCCATGGCGTAGAAGTGGTTGAAATCCAGGAAGATGATCTCTTGCGGGTGCTGAGTGAGGAATGCATCAATCTCCATCAGTCCATCCCAAACCTTGATGCCAAAGAGCCCGTGGATGAAGTAGATCTCTTGGTCGGTGTCCCCCGGCTTGGAAGACACACGCAGGTCAAAGTAGCGGATGCCAGCCTCCAGCTGCTCCCGGAAGGTCAGGTTCTGAGTTACAGACCACTTCTTCATTAGCTTCTTCACCAAGGAGATCCGGGCGAGGCGTTTAACAGCTTGGGTTTGGTCAGGCCCCACTGGTGACTTTTCATCTACCCAGTAGCTGAATGAATCATGGGAGCCTGAACAGAACAATAAAGGAAGAAGGCCCGAGTTGAGACTATTCAACTGATAAGAAACAACAGCACAAATACATTATAAATAAATACTTGCAAAAAACTTTCTAGCCTGCTGGGAATAAAATAAACACAAACGAAAGTAATGTTGTCTTATTAGCCGCTCGTTAAGCCTAGGGTAAGACTATAATTCTCACATATTGCTAGTGTAAGGTAAATTAATAACTGTTTAGAAAGCTATTTAGAAATATGCTTGGAAATCAGAGCTTTAAAATATTCATTGCATTTTGATCTAGTAATTTCATTTCAGGGAAGCTATTCTGGAGGAAATAAACTCAAACCTTTGGGGAAAAAAAACCCAAAGATGGCTGCCAGAGGCTGTCTCAATAGGTGTGAACAGGAGAAGGCTTAAGTGTCTCTCCCAGAACATTTATCTGTGTTATTCACTCCATTGAAATGTGGGCTGAGCTCAGGAATGTTTGGGGCAGGCATATCAGTAAAGAATAACAATTATTCCTGATTCCATTATAATAAAAGCTTGGAAAGATTAGGACTAGAAAGAACATGTTTCCACACAGTAAAGGCTATATACAGCAACCCACAGCCACCATTATGCTAAATGGAGAATGGCTCTTATTCAATGTAGCACCTGAAGTCTTAGCTGGAACACTATAACTAAGAAGGAAATAAAGGGATGTGAATATGAAAGGGAAAAGTCAAAACAACCTTATCTGCAGATGATGCAGTTTTGTTTATAAGACACCCTAAAGGTTATACCAGAAAATTCTTAGACTAATAGTGTTTTTCTCAGCAAAATGGAAGGATATAACATTAACAGGCAATATTAATAACAATAACAAATATTCTGAGAAAGAAATGAGGAAACAATACTATTTACAGTAGCCTCAAAACAAACAAGGAAACAAACACCCTTGAAACAAGCCTGATGAAGGAAGTAAGGGATCTCACAATGAAAAATCTAAAATGCTGAAAAACTGAAGAAAATACTAGAAGACAAAATGACCTTTCATGCTCATGGATTGGCAGAATAATGAAATGATAGACAGCTCTCAAAGGGTGACATACAAATGGCCAATAAACATAAAAAAATTTAAGCTCAGTAGCCATCAGAGAAATGCACATTTAAAATACATCACAATTCCATCTCATTTCAGCCTGAATGGCAGCCATTAAGAAAACAAAAACAAATGCTAGTAAGCATATAGACCTAATAGAACCTTTATAGACCAATGATAGCAATGTATGGCACAGCCACTATGGAAATCAGAAAGAGGTTTCTGAAAAAATTCACAACGCATCTACCATGTGATCCAACCACGCCACTCTTGGGTATTTACCCAAAGGTCCCTAAGTCAACACATCACAGAAACACTTGCACAGTGTTCATTATAGCACTCTACACAACAACCATCATGAAGCCAACCTAGGTGCCCAACAGCAGAGGATAGTTAAATAGCGTGTAGTGAATATACACCATGGAACTCTCCAAGCCCTAATGAAGAATGAAATTGGGGCCGGAGAGATGGCTCAGCGGTTAAGAGCCCTGGCTGCTCTTCCAAAGGACCTGCGTTCAATTCCCAGCACCCACATGGCAGCTCACAACTGTCTGTAATTCCACTTCCAGGGGATCCAACACCCTTACACAGATGCACCAATGCAAATAAATAAATCATTTTTTTTTAAAAAAAAAAGAATGGAATTATATCATCTGCAGGAAAACAAATCCAACTGCAGATAATCACAGGCAGGGAATCAAGCCAGTCTCCAAAACACAAACAGCATGTTCTCTCTCATTTTTTGGTTCCTAGATTTTAATTCAACACATAAAATATGCACTCATAACATGAAAATCGAAGCAAAATGAACTGGGGAACAAAAGAGACTAACGGGGGAAGGGCTGAGAGAGGCAGATAAGGAGGCATGGAGCGTGTGTGCGCCACGTACAATATATACTTGTATGAAATGCCTGTATGGAACAGTACCGTGTGCAATGAATACACAATGGAATTCAGCAAAACAGAAAACCTCTTGTACCTTTCTCAAATATACAATGCATTATTGTTTTCTATAATCACCTCAAATATTGTGATGGAACCAGCAAAATAGGCTTCCCCTTCCCATTTGTTTAAAATATAGCACATAAAATGTAAAGGAATATTTCTGTAAGTAATGTGGGCATATCTTTAACTATACAATGCTATTATATAAAAGGTGTACTTAATCTCACACTAATTTGTGTATGACTGGAACCATAATTTTATCTTCTATAATCTGATTTCTCTTAAACACTTTATTTTAATTTATCTTAACTTCAAAATAAAACGGCCTTAACAAATAATTGTACCCACTAGCCTGAACCAGAAGGCACCAGGACCGGGGCACAAAAATAGAACAAAACACCCACAAACATACAACGTGTAGGCATGCGTGTGTGTTGGGGGTGCGGGCACATTTGCCTATTTGTGCACAGAGGCCACATCCTTGAACCAGACTCTCGCTGAATCTGGGGCTCAGGCCGGTGAAGAGCAAGCCCCAGCCATCCTCTTGCCTCTGGCCGCAGGCCCTCATTCTGACCCTGATAACCTTTCCCTTCACAGTCACACCAGGATGCTTTTATTCATACGACTTCTTCATCATCAGCTCTCTGTGGAACTGAACTTTAGAGCAAGCATTTCATACACACACACACACACACACACACACACACACACACACACACACACACACACAACAAAATTACATAAAACAGTTGGTCGTATTATCTCCTTGTTCTGGGAACAAATCATCCTCCACTGACTTTATCCCATTGCCTCAGAAGTAAGAGTGAACAAAAGAAAAACAGGTTACGAATGATGCTCTATTATTATGTAGCATCCAGAGCGTGGAAGAGATTCAGTTAAGTTTTAAGAAATAGCATATTTATGACTCCTTAGGTGAACCGAATTTCACAAGTGAGAAAATTACCAGCATATTTCAGGTAAAAGAAAAGCTATTACTAATAGAAATGTGGGGCGAGTCCCCCTGGACCTTCTGCATTGAATCTTGTAGCTAATGAGGCTCACTGGGTTCTGCCTAATGCTCAGCTTCCTTTGGCTGTACGGAAACGGGGCCTTTTTATACCTCCTTATTGAGAGATTTATTACAAACCCTTGGATATAATGGTGAACGGTCAGTTCTCTCTCCCTTCTAAATTGCATTAACGAGCCAGCTGTTTGGGACACGGTATGTAACAGAGTGCAAGGCACACACTCCGCTTCATTCTTGCCTGGGCACCAGGGAATAGCTGGGCGCCAAGCATGGAGGACAGACACATCTCCTCCGGAGTGTGCTTGCTGGTTCTGAGCCCAATTTCAGCTCCACGGGGAGATGTGCTAACAACCTCGGCTGAGAACTGTGCAGAAATGTGACAGCCATGGGACCCCGGGGACCATTTCTGATTGCACAGGACACACACCATTCCCAGCCCACTCCACCGAAGAAAGAGAAGCCCACCCCACAAGAATGAGAGTGAGCAGATTTCCTGAGAACAGCTGTCTGTCTCCCTTGGACTCTGTCCTCCTTTCAACCTCCAAGCCCACCTCAACCTCCCCAACATCCGGTGCTCCATCCCCCGCACCCCACCTGTGTTCTGTAGGGTGTGATATTGGTTCAGGTTGCCGAATGCTCCAAGGGGGTTATCTTACCTATGCCCACAGAAATCAAAAGAAACTTTCACCCAATAAGAGGTCTTTTCAATAGTTTTGCCCTTTCTACTTATCTCCCCTCCCCACACAAAATTTTTATTAACACAGAGTAAATAAAATAACAGTGACAGGAATGTAAAGTTCTGGTAAAGTTGGGTAAAGGGAACTGGATGATGGGGACAAAAGACTTTAAATCCAGTCCCAAATGTCAAGTCCCTGTGACTGGATTAATTATCAACAGAAGTTCCAGAATACTTTGCAGGGAATGAGGGGATGAAAGAATATTTCCTGGTGTGTGTGTGTGTGTGTGTGTGTGTGTGTGTGTGTGTGTGACATCAACAGTAGGTTTTGGAAATAACTAATTCATTGTGTGTTCAGAACGCCACCAGGTGGAGCCTTCCCCATGAAGCTGGAAATGTAGAACTCACACATATAATCCCAGTACCTAGGAGGCAGAGGCAGGAGGATGCCATGAGTTTCAGACCACCTGGACTATATAATGAAACAAAGCAAGAACTTTGGTCATATGAGTCCCTCCTTCATGCTCTATACTCCCAGGACTAATTTTGGGTGGGGCTAGAGAGATGACTCGGTTACCAAAAGCTCTTTCTGCTCTTGCAGAGAATCAGAGTTCAGTTCCCATATGGTGGCTCATAACCACCTGTAGCTCCAGTTCTGAGGGATCAAGCATCCTCTTCTGACCTGCATGGGCTCCTGTACACATACATATACTCATGCAAGCTCACAGAAATATACATGAATAAAAAATAAATAAGTCATTTTTAAAAGATGAGGATTTTTTTCCTCAAAGTTCTTGAAATTTAGTTGTCTGCAATCTCTTTAATTTTATAGCTATTGCTATATTTGTTTCTTCCTTTTTTTATACATTCAACAGCACTTTGCATTTCTTGTTCCTCTTGATGTATGCAAAACCCTGGAACATTATATGTGTTGGGAACATAGCACGAATGTCTTTGCATCCACAGACTCTCCGGAGAAACCAGGAATGTTAGTTAAACACACAGGACTGTCTTTCCAATGGAAAAGATGAAAAAACTTGTTCTTCCATCCAGAAAGCTGAGAACTGAAAGCGTGATAAACGGCCTGGTGATCTGTATTATCTGTTGGTTCAAGCCATATCAAGCTCTTAAAACCAAGACTGGTGGTGACTGGTAATCTAAATGACACTGATAGCCAGAGGCTCTTCCAAGTTCCCACAACCAGGACCAGAGGTGGCTAATAGCCCAAATGACCTTTATGCTGTCTGTATGACCTAGACCATGCCAGATCTTTAGGCCCTTA